AATTTTTTTTGCTTTATCTATTGCATTAGTGTATCGATTCCTAGTCAACTTGAATGTGTTATAACTGATTGCTCCGTGGCGATAATATAGGTTTCTTATGTAGTGAAAATGATCTTTCATTTTTTTCAATTCATTATTCCACCAGTTATTACTATAATAATATTTAGAGTTGGAGGATATAACTTCCAAAGATTTAAAGGCAGCTTCTGTTAAAAGGTTTGTAAGTCCATTTACTATCATAATGATATATATGACTAATGATACATAATGACTGATGATAATAGTAACATAAAATAGTTATAATAATGGTGGGGTTTAGATGGTTTATAATGGTTGAGTGGTTGAGGTATAGAAAATAAAACAAAGAAATATAGCATACAAATATTGCCACGTGGAAAATTAGGGAAGTCAAAAACTTCAGGAGGAAACAAAATTTATTTCAGGGAAGGACAAACTATCAAAAGTAAACAAACGATAAGCCACGAGGGCAATTTACAGAGTCGCAAGATATAAAACATAAAATTGACCACTCTGTTAAATAAAAAATAATAAAATTAAGAAATACTATGTTACATAGCTTCTTCCTTATGGGAGCTGTGACCCACAGCTAGCAATTATTGTAGATACTGACGTGGATTTGACGTGTTTCTGCCAAGGATTCCATCGAAGTCTCGGAACTTTGTCCCTAGTACCTTTGCTTCCATTTTCTTGCGGCGTGAAGAGCGGCTTTGTCGTCGTATCGTCTATAGGGACATCGTCATCTTCGAGGGAAGTCTTGGCTTTGGCACGGCGGTGGAATCCTGAAGTCAGTCTCCGAAAATGTAGATCACAGTACCCATGGCTTCAAGGTCTTCTCGGCGATCTTCAGTTTGTCTTCCCTAACTTACCCATCATCTCCACCAAAATGCCACGTGGAAAATTAGGGAAGACAAAAACTTCAGGATGGGACAGAAATTTATTTCAGGGAAGGACAAACTATCAAAAGTAAACAAACGATAAGCCACGAGGGCAATTTACAGAGTCGCAAGATATAAAACATAAAAATGACCACTCTGTTAAATAAAAAATAATAAAATTAAGAAATACTATGTTACAATTTAAAAAGGTGATAGCTTGATTGATTTTAAAAATGGATGGCATTGACGAAGATGATTATAATAAGATAAGGGTAACATTAAAAGATGGCATTCTTATTTAGAAAAATATTTCCCACTGGGGGTTAAAATAATGTAAAAGTAGTAAAACACACAATGATAATTAAAGATATAAAATAAAGCAAATAAAATGATATGAAAAAATAAAAGAAAATATAATAATATAAAAGAAATAAAATGTTTGTTCTGGTAATAGGATCGGAAGGCCGAGTTGAGCTCATTGAAGAGCGACCCAATGAGAAGCTCGTGGAGCCTCGCAGACCCGTAATCGAAGTCTTTCCGCACGGCTTCCAGTTGCCGGAAAAAAGTGTTCTGCGGATAGGTGCCATAGAGGGGCATAGGCACGTGTAGCCGTCACTTCTTGGAGGGCCTTGGTCAGTCAGTCTACCAAGGTGTCCACGCTGGGCCGGATGAAAGTGGCGGGTAACTCAGAAGCGCCCACTTAACGTTCCCCGTCTTCGTCCATAGTCCTTTGTCCACAGTCCGGCATAAATATCCTGTCGACTTATACGGGTCTACTGTCGTAAACCCGGGTGAGCAACAAGTGAGTTGGAAGCAGTCGGGGTTGAGTGGCAAGGCGTGCAGAGTGGGAAGTCCGCACGGGACAGTAAGGACAAGTTTTGGGATCAAAAGACGCTCTCCTAGTACGTCTCACGTGGCACCAGGACCAGGGGAAAGTTGAGGATTAACTGAGGAAAGCCCGGCGTCCTGCATGGAGCCGCGGAGGCAGAGAGGAGCCAAAACGGCGGCCACGAGGACCGCCGTGAGATGACAACTAACCTGGTACTGAGCGGACCCTGTCCGAAAATATCCACTGTAACCTAACTAACTGTCAACATCCGGACAAACACTCTTTTTGTCCCTCTCTGGATCCCCCGGGTGTCTGGTGGCAAGCTGGTGTAACTTTGAGACGACTAGAAAAGACGTCATACTTTATTACTTACATATCACATTGTTTAAATTACGATATATATATATAGGCTCCACGTGCCTATGCCCCTCTATGGCACCTATCCGCAGAACACTTTTTTCCGGCAACTGGAAGCCGTGCGGAAAGACTTCGATTACGGGTCTGCGAGGCTCCACGAGCTTCTCATTGGGTCGCTCTTCAATGAGCTCAACTCGGCCTTCCGATATATATATATATATATATATATATATATATCAAACATCTAGCTTTCGGGCACGAATGTGAATTTTCCAAAACCACAAACTACTATGAAATTTATCTTAAATAATTACACTTCATACACGACAATTGAATTTGTCAATGCTTTCATTTGTTCTATATAAATAATGAATTGGCATTTATCGTAGGATCCGCCAGCCTTGCGGATAATTTCCTGACTCCATTTAAGTGGAAGACAGTTATATTCAAATTTATAGATGATGCATATTTAAGGATTATTTTCTATCAATATTCATGTAAAAAAATAACTAGAAGTAAAATTAATAAACTTTCTTTAATTAAAAAATTAAAAAAATATATTTTGATAATAAAGAAATATGATTCAAAATATTTGAATAGTAAAAAAGTCAATATATATTGGATTAATTTTTATTATCAATATATGCACCATTTATTTTTTAAAAATATATTCGGCTTAGGACGGATTTGTTAACTTATATAATTAAATGAACCACTTTCTGTTTCAAAACCGGATGCAATAGAAAAGAGGAAATTAATATTACTACGCTCAGTCACACTATGACGTCACGTTTTTCTTTAAAGAGTTACGGAAACAGCTGATGTCTTCCCACTCCACGGACGGTGCTCCAGAGCGATGGCGGCGTGGCTGAAGCTGGCATATCTGACGCTGCTGATGGCGGTCGTGAGCTGCGTCGGCCCCAATGCCACCGTGAGCGAGAAATGGTTCGACCTGGCCAAGCAAGGACAGTCCTTCATAAAGATTATGACCAAGCATATGCACAGCCAGATGCTGAGGATAATGCACGATGCCGAGATCTCTACCAACTGCTCCATTTCACTTCTCAGGGTCTACAGGGGAGTCCAACGTCTTGAGAAAAACGCCCTCTTTAGTAAGTTGAATTTTTGATAACAATTTTATCAACAAAGTCATTTATATAGTTACTGTATATTAAAGATAAAACATATTTTAAAAATAAGTTTATTTTTCAATATCCTCTTATTTATCTTAGAATTCATGATCAAGGGAATCATTTGTGTTGTGATAATAAAAAATAATAAAATGGCAACCTTTCAACAATTAATTCAAAATGACTACAGAATCCACCTAATTTTTAATCTCTCAATGAGATGTTCTTATTCTTCTGAAAAAGGGTGTATATTAGAAATATACTGAAATTATTTTTAACAAACCAAGCTTGTGACGTTACTTTTTACTCATTTAATATCACAGTTTTAAATATAAATATTGATTATATCCCAACATATTTATTTTAGATTTTATATACATGTTTTTACAGTCTATTTTTTTTACATCCCCACCTGTTTAATCTATCAGACCGCTCCTATACAGCCGAAAAGTCAAATACTTGTTAGAATGCACAATTGTTATATTCACATAACCACTCATAGAGAGCACCATATTTCTACAAATTTTATATTAATAAATTGTTATTCAAACGTTCACTGAGATATTATAAACCTACTCTAAGTCGATGATGGACAAAACTTAAGTAAGTTTAACCTTTTAGCATGTATAACGGGATTCAGACAATAACTCTAAAATATATTTATTTCACAGTGACCTTTATTAAAGACACAAGATAAAAAAAATGTGAACAAAATTGCCTCTGTCTCCTTAAAAAAAATGAATAAAAAAAATAGACGACAAGCGACATAAAAGACTTTTACTTCCTTATGTTTTGTCCATGAGTGTACATATAGAAAATTATTCCAGCAATGCCATGTGGGTGGAATTTTGATAGGATGGATTCTTTTTTCGTTATATTGAAAATAGAATTGTATTAAAGGTTTGAACAGAAAGTAATGGTTATCTATATTGATCTCAAGAGACTGACAACAAAATAAGGAATATCCGTTCAGTCCATTAGAGTGTTATTAAGAAATTCAGACGATTGCTCTATCAAATTGGAATGCATCAGCAGCATGAAACCCAGCTGATGAGTTTTCTGGTGTTTCAACAGAACAGTAATTCAAAACTATTCATGAAAATCGGGTTTAACTTTATAAATTCCATAGTGTATTTATTTCCGCGCACCTTTAAAAGCCTCTTCAGTCGATGCCGTATAAGAACAAAATAGTTAATAAGAAGCCTTCATATTGTAATAAAGAATATCACGTACACACATAAAACGGTAAAATTTTCTTTATTCACAAATAATATAATTATAAATAAATAAACTTTGTCATAGATTATCTTCGACAATATATTCCACCCAAATCGTATTTGATAGCTAGGTATAAAAAAAATAACAATGTTACAGATATCTATTACAATTTTGCGTGGAGGATATTGATATAAAAAATAAATGTCGCTACTCCGGTCAAAATAAACGCTAAAACTATATAAGCAACATCTATTGATCGTCTCCACAAATTAGCGGACTCTGGGCGGTAAACAAAGCCACAAAATCAGCTTTGGCGAATTGAGAAGGGCCCCTGTGACCTTGATTTAGGGTTAATAGTATTCGTCGGTCCAGGTTGGGCTTTGATTTTTCAACACTGAGATCCACAAGGGGATAAATTATATCTGCAAGATTTACCAAAGAGGTGTTTAGATGGTAAAGTAACTATGCCTTTTATTCATAGAGAGAAAATATGGTTTTACGAGCTACTAACCAAGGTGTATGATGGAAAACTTTCCACGCCAGGAATCGAACCCGGGCCAAAAAGGTAATAACCTACAGCACCGGTGTTCCCAGGTGGTCACCCTCCCAAGTACTGACCGGTCCCGACATTGCTTAACATACGGTGATGGTACGAAATCCGTTTGTTTCAATAGGCGAATTTATAGATATGCTATATTTTCTGTTTAATAAAATACATATCTTTATTAAAGGGGTTATAGACATTCATGATGCCCGAAAAGGGGGTCGGTGGAAGGATGGTTTAAACCGTTGGTTTTTGACCACTACGACCCGGGTTCGGTTCCCGCATTAGTCATTTTTTTTATTATTAAAAAAATGCTCCGAAGGCCCCCGATTCTTTCAAAAGCCCAACCCCACCAGCGAGTGCAAGAAATCAAAAAGGGCTCTGGCACATTTGCAAGTGCAAAGTCGAACTGCTTTTCACATGTGTAGACATATGATGCACTTACAGTAAAAGCAGTCGCTAACTACCCACAATGATTATCATGGTCTGTACCACGTATACTAGGGATAATAAAAAAAATGCCTGAAGGATGATGAGAGTCAGTTTGAAAATAGTTCCCAACAACGACATAGAGCCGTCAAACACAGTGAGATATTCAGGACCAGAATTGCAGAAGGTCTCTTTCAGTTAGAATACCCACTTTTCTGTCGGGATCTAGGAGACAAGCAAACTCTGTAAAATGATTCCTTAACCTAGCCTTAATAAAAATAGTTAAGCTTCTATAAATGATTAAACAATTTTTTTATAAAATTGGTTTATCTTTTATATTCGCATTTTAGTATCGCATGTGCGCAACGAGCTATTATTTTAGGGATTATAATGAACAACAAAAATATAATTTGAAATCATTTTAGGCTAAGCATATTTTAAACGTAAATAATAAGTGTATGGGTACTTTCGAAGTCATCACGATTTTCAACGAAATTTTGAATTCCTTGACAAAATTCAAAACCATTTATTATATTAGAAAACGATATTATTATTCAGTAAAATGATAATAATTGTCAAATGCCTCATAAATATAAATGGTATTTATATAAAGAGTAACGATTCAATATTTTTTATTTGTGATATATATTAATACAATATATAAAGTTATTAAATACATACTTGAGCAAGTTGATATATTGCATCTATTCTTGCTCCTTTCGAAATGCAAAATATGAATAATTTAACCATTTCTAAACATTTAAACGCGTCATCTATTACAAAGAAACCTTTAATTACTAATTTTGTGATTTTAAAATAAAATATTTTGCACTGTCCTTACTGTAAGAGAAAATATTGGAAGAGTTGATTAAACGGAATTTGTATTTATTCACGGAAGAGAAGTGTGTCAATTGAGATAGAGGTGATTGATCCTATATACCAGGATGGAAGTATGAAGTCTTCCTTCCTGGCAATGTTGAGATTACCTGGGAAATACATCCTCTCAAGGAAACACTACTATTGATATCCTTTATTGCTGAACCATTTTCTTTTGTTAGGAAACATTGTTTTATACCAATTTATATTCAGAAATATACTATTGTGATTATGCATATTTACAGAGGGTGTTCACACTTATAGGGCAAACAGGTTTTATTATAATATATTAAAAATTAACAGCATATTTTAAATTTTTCAAATGTTCTACTTGAAAGCCTTTTTGTTTATTTACAGAACGGCACCTGATTTTCCACGATAGCAGACACTTTCTGATCATGGCCATACTTAAAAGATCCCATTCTTCCTTTACCACTTTCCAGAGCTAATCTTACCTATTCGGACATAATTAAAATATGCAAACAAGATGATATCAACATTTCTAAAAAAGGTATTTATAATATTATTCACGACAAAAATATCAAGTTTTTATTCAAAGCACCTACGGAGAAATGGACAAAAGATATTCACCCTATTGTAAATAGACAAAAAGAATTGCTATAAATTATTAAATAAAAACAAACGATAGCAATGCGTCTCTTTATACATAAATTTTTTTTAATATGCTAGCTTTCGGATCTTATCGATCCTTCAACAGGCCAAGCTGTAAATTGAGAGAAAGAATATATATATAAATGTAAAATATTATTTATATACACCAACGAAGATAGAGAATAAAATATAATAAATATAAACACATTTCACGAGTTCACGTTTTCTCGTGGCCAGGCTGCTGTTGTTTCATCTCTGTCCAAAGCTCAGTTTGTTTTCTTTCATAGTCAATTGGTCCTTTTATTCTAATGGCTGGGCTGTTTTTTGAATGAGTGGTACTGAGATGGTAGTTCTATACGCCTGTTGATACTGTTTAAATCTTGAGAGACGAAGGATTCTATTAATAATCTTTGATATTTGGATTTGATGTTGTGGTAATGACAGGTTGGGTCGGAAAGGTTAAAGGCATGGCCGGTTTTAGAGGTATGCTGAAAGATCAAAGATTTGGGATCTTTGTTTATTATATTTCTGTTGTGCTCGGAAATTCTGTTGTAAATGAAACGGCCAGTCTCACCCACATATTTAGCGTTGCAATCTTGGCAACCTATGGAGTAAATGGCATTTGGTTGCTGGTCGGGACGTTTCTTAATATTAGATTTGGTGATGGGGTTCCGGAGTATTTGGCCTATTGAGAGGTGGTTGGTAAAAAAGGTTCTTAAACCAAATTTCTTGAGGGAGAGGGCTATTGATTGATTTTCAAAGGAATAAGGTATAATACAGGTGTTACGGTTTACTACGGGCTGAGTGTGTTTGGAAGGGTTGAAACTATGTCTAAGTATGAAGGGAAGTGGATAGCCACTTGCTGTTAGATTACTGATGATGGTTGTCTTTTCTAATATTTTGAAGGCTGGGGTGGAGCAGTGTGTATGTATTCTTTTCGTGAGTGTTCTGACGACTGTGAGTTTGTGGCCTATTGGGTTATATGAATCAAAAAGGAGATAGGATGGTTTTATGGATTTTTTGTAATAAACTGTTGTGTGGTATGATTCATCAGTTTTGATAAAAAGAATGTCCAAATATGGCAAAACTTTGTGGGACTCATGTTCTATTGTGAAAGTGAGGCGTGTATGGTAAGAGTTTAGGGTTTCCAACACCAATAGGACGTCATCCTTGTGACATATGCAAAAAATGTCGTCCAGGTACCTTTTCCAAACTTCTATTCGGAGATGTTTCTGTTCCAAAATCCAGCTGTCAATGGCGCTCATGACGAGCTCTGCCGCAATGTTGGATAAAGGGCTACCCATAGGAGATCCACAGATTTGTTTAAAAACTGATCTTCGAAGCTGAAGTTAGATGTTGCCAAGCATAATTCAAACATTAAAATGATTCCTCTCAATTTACAGCTTGGCCTGTTAAAGGATCGATAAGATCCGAAAGCTAGCATATTAAATTTTATGTATAAAGAGACGCATTGCTATCGTTTGTTTTTATTTAATATTCACCCTATATCTGTGAGAACTCCTGCAACTGTCAAAAAAGTGAAAAAATATATTGAAAATAAAATCCTATGCCACAAAGAGATATAGCCAAATTAATAGGAACATCAGTGTCAACAATAAATAAAATAATAAATAAAGATTTAGGCCAAAAAGCTACAAAAAAACATGCGGTTCACAAATTGTTTCAGAGCCAATATTCGTCAGCGACACACTATCAGCAGATATTTTTATGAAAATTTCTTGGCTGCTGATAGATGGAAATTTATTGTTACATATGACGAAGCATGGGTATATTTAACCGATTGCTAAAGAAAAATAGCTATATACTATCAAAAAAGGGTGGAAAAATCTAGGCCAATTTGGGTGGAGGAATGTGCCGAAAGTTACCCCAAAGGATTTATGGTGGCATGCGGTATATCATATGAAGGAAAATTAAAAATAAGAAAAGTTGAAAGAAATGCCGAAATATACTCGGAGTACTATCATAACAAAATTTTAGAACCTATATTTTAAAATGATATTCCCTCTGTCTATGGAAAACACAGCAACAAAGTCAGGTTTCACCATGATAACGCCACACCATAAATACAATCTGAGATATGTAAAATAAGTATATGCAAATTATAACATGTAACAAAAATATTTATATTTTAGATGGAGTTTTGTGAAATAGATTGAATGTTTGAAAATAACTACTGAAATCAATACACGATTTTTGAAATGTTAATATAGTACCAACAATTATAATGGCACTACTAATATGATTTCGTGCTATAAGAAATGTATAGTTTATTGACTAATTGGCGACACTTGACTATTTAACTGGATATTTGTCATGATGCAAAAATGAAATATAGAGGGGAGTGACAAAATAAATTTGTCGTACTTTATTCCAAATATTTCTATGGGTTTGTCAAATGTTATCATTGTTTATTATACTCTACATAATTTTGAAAATGTATCCCCTCAAAAAAAATCATTTTTAAATCGACCTTTTGCGTTGAAAAACGTGGTAGTAAAATTATTTTGTATTATTTTTTGCGCAAAATTTCTGAAGTTGGGAGGAGGGGGGATACAGAGAATATTCCTTATGCTATTTCTTCTAATGAGCGAAAAGCGATAAACTAAACATAAGGGGTAAAATTGTGTATACCAGTGTTATTCGAGAAGTTATAACACTTTGGCCTGCACGACATAATATAAGATGTGGGCAAATGACAAACAAAAAAAAATACTGTTCACAGAAAAAAAAAAGAGTCAAGATGTGAGGACAGCATTTATTATTCCCATAACCCAAAACAAAGAGCTGCAAAATATAACACATAAGGTAACTGTCTTCTCTCTTGTATTAGGTCACAATCCTTGCTCAATGTGGCGCCCTTCATTCTCAAACACCACCTGCAGACGATAGATAACAGAAAGGTCACAATTAAATAGTTGAAATTTATAAAACGTGCCATCTGATAGAAGCCTTCAACATGGCCAATGTGGTAGGCCGGCATCGATAAAAATGCGACTTAATGTACCCCCATAACCGAAATTGTAAGGCGTCAAGTCTGGTGATATTGGAGGCCACTGGTATATAAAGTGGCGACTTATCAACGAATTTCACCGAACGTATCCTTCAACAATTGTTTGGCACCGCGGGAAATCCAGATGGCACAAGAACCTATAGAACATGCAACAACTGTCCTGGTGTGGAACTAACACCTACCCACATATTCTCATGC